TAGCACAGTCTGAGCTAATTAGCATACAAGGGTGTGAAACAGAACAGCAAACTGCTCTGACACACCTCTCTAATGTTAATATCACGAACACAAGTAAGCACCTGTATGTGCTGCTTTTCCTAATTGATACTGGATCACTGGAAACAGTGCAAACAGTGAATCGAATTAAGGGTGATTAGAAGTAATTTAGGATCACAATGAAATCTTATATCTTTATTCAAGGTGGAAATTGACTAAAGATTTTAGGATGTGCTCTAGAGAATGCTATACGTAAACCAGAAATAAGTATGTCTTTTCTACTAAAAGGCCAGAGGTCATGTTGCAAAAGTAATTTATGAGAAATTCTGAGCAGAGAGAATAAACGTGGTTATAGCACCAGTTCTCGGAAACCAAAAACAACATTGAAGCAGATTAGCAAAAAGGACTTAACTTGTACAATCAGACTAGCATCTGAGAAAATACCTATTACAACTGGTACCTTTAAAGAAATTTAAATTATGTGTGTAAAGCTGATTTCAATGCTATGCACGGAACCAAGTCTTCATGCCCTAGGGAGGATTCATAGCTGTTATCTAGACTGATTGCTATGTATAAAAGGCTGGCCTGCTTTGAAGCCACCATATACAGGTTTTTTGAGAAAGCAATTTTTTTTTCTTACCTAGAAGACTAAAAAGGGAACACACATTTATATCTAAATTGATTTTGAACAAACATGTTATTGTTAGGGTTTGGCTACACATGAAATGTGGCAATGCAACTGCACAGCTGCAGCACTTCAGTGAGAAAACCACTGATGCCAATGTGAAGGACTCTCCCATTGATGTAGATACTCCACCTTCCCAAGAGGAGATAGCTAGGTCAACAGAATTCTGTCATCTTAATACTGTCTACATCAGGATAGGTTGGTATAGTTGTGTTGTTCAGTAGTGTGGATGTTTTGCACCCCTGAGCAATGTAATTATGTCAAGCTAATTTCCTAGTGTAGACTGAGAATTTGATAGGTTATGAGGAGTAAATTGGTATATTTAGTTCTACTGGTAGTACACATACCTGTGTCATAAAACCATCATCATAATTAATACTACCTGGTATCCCAATTGACATCATTAATAGAGAGATAAATGGTTATACAGACATGGAGATGAAAATTCACTGATTTGTACCCTTCTGAAAAGAACTGAGGCAGATAGCTCTGTGCGGATATAAAATTGGTATCCACATCTACAAAAATGATCTGTGGATATCCACAGCCACAGATGCCAATACCGGCTGATATCTGCAGGATACTAGATACAAAATTTGTATCCATAACCACAAAAATGGGTCATAGATAGTCACATCCACATTCATGGATATTCATGAATAAAAAGTGGATTTGCAGGGCTCTACTGAGGGCCATATGCAGATAACATTAAGGAGCTTTAGATGTTTTATGCTAACATCAGCATTCTGGCAGCAACCAAATTCAATTTTCACTAGGGTCCATCTGAAGAAAAGTTAGTAAACCATGCTTTCATAGTACTCAAGATTCCCCCCCCCCCTTGAATAAAGTGACTACCAAAGCTAATAAAAATGCTTTATTTCACCTATCGCCTTTAACCAATAATGTCAGTGGCGGCCATAATAATGTATCCAGAACAGGTGCAATAACCCAAGGAAATATACTGAAAAACATTAACCAATATTTTATTCCTATAAAAATAAAAAATAAAAATGTTACATTTATTTCAGGAAAAATGTGTCTACATTTTTGAACAATAAATTAAGCTTTGAAATATTAACATCAATTTACATTTTAATGATTCAAAAGACAAGCGCAGTGAAAGATACAGAATTATCTCCCTTCCTCCTCCCCCTCCACCAACATATCAAATCTTTTACTCCTTTTATGCACTGGCAGCTAAGATCTCAAAAGAAAACATTATCCAGTGGCATAGACACAAACATTAACAAAAATAGATAGAATAATTAAAAATGTACTATTTTACATGCTTTGCCTACACCATAGATAAAAACCTCTACCTGCACATATATAAAAATATAAATTTAGTCATTGAAATAATGGAAACTTTTCAAGATGTTTGTCACATTTCTAGCTTCTCCAAGTCTCATATTTTATTCCAGTAAGAGAGAGAACAGGACATGTCAAACAAAACAAAGACCACCTTTTAATAACATTTATTATTATGTATACTTATGACATCTTAAAGCTTTGGTAAGATTGGTCTGCTCCATTTTCTCTCTCTCTCTCTACATGCAAAAAAGTGCAAAAACAGATAAATTATTGTTACTACTCAGTACAGAAAACTGGAATCATGCATTAATTTTTGCCATTTATTTTGTAAAACCTGGTTTTGATATTTACATTTGCGTGAGTACCTAATTCCCCTTCCTCATAATCCAATTTCTACTGCAAATTAAAAAAGATAAATTTAACAACAGACCATCATTCAAGTAAATTAAGCCTTAAATCAGAAGGATGGATACTGATTGATAATGACAGTCAACTGTTACTTTGCCAAACTATCATTTGCTAGAGGAAAACCAAAACTTATCTAAGCTGACTCTCAGGTATTTTGAATTTTCTTCCCTAGATAGCATGTAGTTTTCATCCTCTTGGACAGAAAACAAACTGATTTCTCCCAGTAAAACTTGAAGATGATCTACAAAAGACTGCAAATGAATAATGTTTGCTCACTTGAAGAGTGGGCTAGAATGGACTAGGATATCAAATAGGTCTTCAAGAACTCCCTTGAAAAGAACCTAACAGCAAGTACATTGTAAACTCTCTCACCTCAATTAAAAGGCTGGAGATTGGCCTATTTAGCAATGACATCCTTTACCCAAAATGCTTATTGGTATGGCTCTCTGGCTAACAATCCTTTCCCTTCTCAAGTCCTCAACATTTATGATGTCATAATTTTACTAGTTCTTCAGTCACCATGGACTTTTCCAAGACATGCATAACTAAAAAATAAACAGAAAACTATCATCAGCTTTTTTTAAGAAATGCAACTTTCAGGCTTTTTTTTTTTTTTTAAACACACCATTGAAATCATAAAGGGCACAAGGCCAATTTATTATATCCTTCATAAGTCAACTTTGACAGGAAAAAACATGAACAGGGCTTTCTATTAAGTAGGACGATTGGTTTCCATTCACTCCTACAAAATTAACATATATAAACAAATTTTCAAGGAAAATAAACAGTATTGAACTTGCACTCTTTCACTTTTTATGTTTTAAGACTTCTTTTTTAAAGAATTTGTTCTGCTCATTAGTTAAGATAGAAATTTAGGTCCTCACTGCCCTAAAAAAATTCACCCCCACTCTTTCAGATAATTCCCACTTTGCTGACACCAACAGAATAGCAGCAAATACTTCAGCACTATCTCACTTTATTTGCAGCAAATATAAATAATATGCTGTTCAAAACATAGATGGCAACATAATTTGTCTGTTCACAGGATACTAATGCTGCTAACACAAAGCTCAACTGGTTTTAGTAACAATGGGATAAACGTCTGTAGTACAGACAGAACCAATGATGACTGGAGAACTACTGAAACGATCACATCACAAGAACTAAAACTGAAAGTTGAGCAACTGAAAACTGAAAGGGAATTTTAATGAAACCCTTGCAGCTTATGTCTACACCTATTTAATATAAATGATTAATTAATAATTTGGAGAATGGAAGATTCACAACCTTTATCCCTTCAGATCAGATGAAGCAGCTCATAAAAATATAATCTGAGATCCCTCCAAAAAGTATTAAGAAAAACCAGGGACAGCTCATTTTTTGTGTATGTACAGGCAATCTTTAGAATACAGTTTACTATGTATCTCGTTGGAAAGTTAATTAGTGGAAACTTTATAATATTATAAATGAAACACATAGTACTAATGGCTACCATTTTTTGGAATTTAGTGTATTCCTACTCTACACTCCCTCTCCTATCTTTATCCCAGTACAGAACAGTTCTCTGTGATTCTGCATATAAAATTGCAGAATCACTACGTACAGTCTCTGTACCAGATGACTAGGGCATAGCTAATGTAGCATCAATTTTTTTAAAAAAGGCTTTAGAAGTGATCCTGGCTATTACAGGCAGTCCCCGGGTTACATCAGCCCGACTTAAGTTGGACCCCTAGTTACGAACGGGGGGGTGGGGCGCAGCTAGTGCAGGGTGCCTCCCCCACTGTCGCCGCCTCCGGCGGCGCGGGAGGCGCTTCCCCCCAGCAGACCAGGGAGATGCGGAGCTAGCGCCCCCCCCAGCCGACCAGGGAGACGCGGAGCGGCTTTACTCAGCAGACACCTCAGCTTGCGAATAAAGGACTGAGGTGAGGTGGGGGTGGGAGGCCGCGGGGGAGGCGGTGGGCGGCCCCGCCGAGACACGCTGCGGTCCCGCTGATCGCGTCCTCTGCAGCGAGAAAAGATGCTCCGTGTCTCCCTGGTCTCGCTCCCCCCCCGCCCCCCCAGCAGACCAGGCTTTTCTCGCCGACGCCTGGGGTAGAGCAGCTGGGGTGCTGCCGGGTTGGTCCCACAGCGCTGAGGAGCGGCGCTGCGGGATCAACCCAGCAGCACCCCAGCTGCTCTGCCCCAAGCGTCCCCAAGAGCAGCTAGGGTGCTGCCAGGTTGGTCCCGCCACGCCAAGGGTCGGCGCTACCAGACCAACCCAGCAGCACTCCAGCTGCTCTGCCCCAGGCGTGTCTGATTCAGCCGCTGTTGGTCAGTTTCAACAGCGGCTGAATCTGGACGCCAGTTCCGACTTACATACAAATTCAACTTAAGAACAAACCTACGGTCCCTATCTTGTACGTAACCCGGGGACTGCCTGTACAGGTCAATACACCTAACTTGAGTATCAGATAAATTGGTTGGTGTAGACGGAGCTTGATCCTGCCTTGAGGGCGGGGGGCTGGACTCGATGACCTCTCGAGGTCCCTTCCAGTCCTATTATTCTATGATTCTATGACTAATCTACTTGAATTCTTTGAGGGGGGGGGGGTCAACAAGCATGTGAACAAGGGTGATCCAGTTGGTATTAGTGTATTGGACTTTCAGAAAGCCTTTGACAAAGTACAACACCACTAGTCATGGGATTACAGGGAAGATTCTCTCATGGACCAGTAACTGGTTAAAAGACAGGAAAGAAAGATTAAGAATAAATAGTAATTTTTTACATTAGAGAGATGAAGAGAGAGGGTCGCAGGGACCTGTACTAGAACCTGTGCTGTTCAACATATTCATAAAAATGTAAAGGGGGTAAACAGTGAGATGGCAAATTTTGCAGCCAAGACTAAATTACTAATAGTGTAAATCCAAGGCTGCCTGTGAAGAGTTACAAAGGGCTCTCACAAAACTGGGTGACTAGGCAAGAAGATGGCAGACAAAAGCAAAGTAATGCACATTGGCAGGGCTCGACAAACTATGTAATCTACTCGCGCTTGGCGTGTAGATTACAACACGGAAGAGCCGGGTTTGGGCGATCTGCGCATGCGCAGAACGATCTGCACATGTGAAGATCGCTGGACAGTGCAGCTGGCGAGCAGGGTTCATCGCGGCTCGGCTCGCCCTGCACATTGGAGAAAATAATCCCAACTGTACATAAAAATAAGGGGTTCTAAATAAGCTGTTACCATGCAAGAGTGATATCTTGCAGTCATCATAAGCCATTTTGAAAACATTTGTGTAATGTACAGCAGCAGTCAAAAAATCTAACGATGTTAGAAACCATTAGGAACATGATAGATAGTAAGATATAAAATACCATAATATATAAATTAATTGTATGCCCACATCTTGAATACTGGGTGCAGATCTGGTTGGCCTGTCTCAAAAAAGATATATAGAATTAGAAAAAATAGAGAGAAGAGAAACAAAAATGAGGAAGGGTATAGAACAGCTTTCATCTGAGAAAAGATTAAGAAGACTAGGACTGTTCCTCTTGGAAAACAGGTGACTAAGGGGGTAGGGCGGATATAATAAAGCTCTATAAAATCATGATTGGTGTGCAGAAAGTGAATAAGGAAGTGTATTTATCCCATCACATAACCCAAGAACCAGGAGTTACCTAATGGAATTAATGGGCAACATAATCTTTTAAATAGATTTAAAGGAAATATTTGGAAGTACTTCTTCCCCCAACTCATAGACAACACGCGTAATTTCTTGTCAGGGGATGTTGTGAAGGCCAAAAGAATAAATGAGTTCAAAAAAGTATTACGTAAATGCATGAAGTTGAATGGCTATTAGCCACAATAGTCAGGGATTGCATCCTCTGGGTGTCCCTAAACCTTTGATTGCTAGAATCATACTGAATGAAACTGGATGGATTATTCAATAATAACCCAGGATTCTTCAGTCTGATCTATTATGACCATTTTTATATGGATGTCTTCTGTACTATGCAACTGCATGATTGGAAAAAGAAATAAGCTGAATGTTGAATCCAATCATATAACATTAAATTGTCATATTTAGTCCATTAATATAATGCTACTGCTAGAATGGACAGTAATCTGAGATGGTTTAATGCTATCAGTGTTAGATCCTATATGCGAGGGAACACATTTAATGAAAACATTTATGTATTAAATAATGAATTGATCATTCACTTGGTTTTCATCTCCCTTTAAGTGTTTCATGAAATAACTTTAGCTTCTATATAGTTTCAATTAATACAAGCTTTTTAATAATTAGAATAATTGTAAGGTCAACAATGGATATACAAGCATTTCCTAGTGCACATTATTTCTAGAAAGGCTTTTATGTGAATGAATAAAATAAATTTGCCTCAAAATGTTTTCTTAAAGGATGTCTGAGAATAACACCATCAAGAAAATTTGAGGAAGATTATATTAACCTTTTAAGATGTTCTATTTTGATTATTTTTAAGTTTATCAAGCACGAACCCAGCAAGCCTTTAAGGCAGGGCACATAGGGACATGACATTTTGGCACACTATATACTAGGAATGTCATTTTTTCTTGTTGGTTAATTATTACATTGAGAATAAAACAAACATAGCTCAATACTGTTTCTGAATTTCTGTTCTTTTAAAACAATTTACTGAATATTTCACAAGAAAAAAATTAGATGTACGGTAAAAAGAATCAAATATAATCTCCAATATATTGCCGAACAATTAAGTTACATATTAATTACACATAATTAAGGAGAAAGCTCAAATGACAAGGTAACTGCCAACAAAATTGAAAAATTTGTGGAGAAAAGTTGGCACAATCCCACAAGTGCAGAATGGTCTATTTATGGTCTGCCTAGCAGTATTAAACAAGTAGTATTCAATCTTTGATATCTTTTCTTTTTTGTTGTATTAATTGGATTAGACCTAATATATATACTGAAGGCATTCTTGAGTTTATGGCACCATTTTTATTTTCAAAATAGGGTAAAATCTGCAACTCTTACTATAGCTATGGAACATCAAGCATAGGGCTCCTTGGACAAAATTCTGAAAACATTTGTAACAGGCATGTTGGTTTACTTGAGTAGCAAAGCTAAAACTACTTTGGTTTAAAGTTTAACCAACTTCAGAAAAATAAAAATTAGTACTTATACCAATGGACAAGAATACATAAGGCCTATTTTTTCCAAGCTATGAATTTTGAATACTATACTATTTTAATGAATTGACTACATACTAACAAGAAAAAATGAGGTAAGAATGCTTGTGTTGGTGTATGTGGACTCTTGGCTTCACAACATTGCCTTTTATACTTGTCTACTCCACTCTGGCAGGAAAGTATTTTAGGGTTTAAGAGCTTATCTCCCACTTATTATCAAATAACAATTGTGCATCTATAATTACCCACACATCTTGCTAAAGTTGATACAATTGTGACAAAAACATCAGAGTTGAAAAGACCTTTCTATTTATTATTATTCTGTTGCAAGATCAAATGTTAAGGTTTATATAACCTAGTGCAAAATCACCACACATTCCCTGAAGGCCCATATTGGGCATTTAAAAAGAAAAGAAAGAAAAAAAAAAAGCTTATTGTACATGTGCAAAGCCCAGTAAGACTGTGAAATAGAAGCAACGTACTGGTCAGTTTCAAGTTAATATTTGCTCTTAAAAAGTATAGACTTATTACAGAGATCAAATTGTCTTTTTAAACAGCTATTTCAAGTTAATGCTATAGCAGGAACCAGTGCCTTATATGTTTTCTGAGAACCCAAATATTAATTGAAAAAATTCAAAATAAAATGCACTATTTTCTCTAGATCTACCAGACCAAAAAGGAGAAGCTTTATATAGCAAAATCTGATTGCACTCTTTTAAATGCACACACGAATGTATAAGGCAAAGCTGTACAGCACAGCTGGAAGATACTGAAGTTATGTACTGGAAGAAACTTACTGCATTTTGGTAAGAGCATTATATGCTTGACATAATAAAGAGAAGCCTAAGTAGTAGCAGAAACACATTAACCTCCTGGAACACAAATAGGATAAAAATAGTAAAATATTTTAAGCAATTAAATGTATACCACAAGGCGGTCTCCAAAGGTTCTTATTGTCCTCTTATGCTCTTTTCTAGATTTCTTTTATGGCTCCTGTCACACTATCAATTGCCAGTAAGGTGAACTATAAGCTGCACTTCAGGACCTGGAGGATGAGGGTAGGAAGGAGGCAGTGCTACTTCTGAAAGTGCTGACTGGATGCAAAGGAGCCCAGAGATATAATAAAAGGAAACCTCCTGGTAGTGAACTTATATACATTAGCTACGATGCTATTTAACCCCATTTGTCCTGACCAGTACTAGATAAAGAGAAGTACCAAAAAACTCTTCCCCGCCAACTATGACTAATGATGTAATCCCCAAGAAGGGACCAATCTGCAGAACACAAGGATGAATGATCTAGACTCCTGCTTCCAAACAATTTTCTTCTGAAAAAAGTCTATTGGATGTCATTGCAGAGTGTAGCATATGGAGGTGTAGTTGTTTCTATAAAATAATATGTTGTATTATGATATTATTCATAATGTTAGAACTATATTTTGTGTGTATAAATAAAGGAGAAAATCAGATTTTTCTACACATATATAAACATCTGGCATATATGCTTATTATAAATTTTACACAACTTTCCTTATTTAGAATGAATCCTTAAATAACAGAATTATATACAAACTGATAGAATATTTTCTTTAAAATTAACACACTATTCACAAATACAGAATTACCTAGGACAAGCAAAAAGTGTATTCAGAATAAATTAACATTATACAAATGTGGTTATATTGTTCAGAAAGTCCAATTCTCCCCTTTGAAATGAAATGGAAACCGTTGTATCTTATGGTGAAGTATTTAGCAAAGCACACATTCTCTCTCTCTCTCTCTCTTTACACAGAAGTCTTCATATGGACTTAATTGCATTTATACAAAGGAAAGAAACATGAAAGACCAGTACCTCACACTACTGCATTTCACTGAATCAGAATAAGATTTCTATTGAATGACACTGTTGAAGTCAATGTTTTATCATCTTATCTGAACATAGTAGCCCCTGTCCTTGCAAGCTATACACTTTGAATTAGCAGCAACACTTTTAATAGGTACAGTAGTAATTTTTTTCATTACTGGATTGGGCCAGTGTGCATTTAAAGTATTTAACAGTTGATGTGCATAGCCAATGCCTGCCTGTGAGAAGTAATAAATACATTGGGAAATAAAGATAAATAAGATAAATATTTGATTTAAATGCTTTCAGTCTATAAAGAGAAAAACACAAGAAAACAGTGAAACTAAGTATAAACAGGAAGTACCATATTCAGGTAGAAAGTAGAACAAAAGAGGCTAGAGGAAATAGGCAAACTATTGAAAAGTTAAGAAAACGAAGAAAAAAAAAACCCCCCACCACCAAGCTGTGGAAGATCTCAATAAAGCCTGCAGAGCAGCATTAGTTTGCATGTCGGGTATGCTATGTTTGATTTATCAAAAAATTATTTGTATAACTGGTGTACTTGCAATTAGATTGATGGGAGTTAATTCTTTAATTGTTCCAGGTCTTACTGAACATATTAAGGGTTTAACCCTTGTCATTCTGTTTATACAGAATGTCTGACAAACCTCTATGAATCAAATAAGATTAATTTTGTATATTGATATTCTGGTACCCAACTTGCAAGATCTTGAGCATTCAGCTCCCATTGATTTCAATAGTAGATGAAGTCTTTCAACACCTCATAGTTTGGGACGCTTTATTAATATTGTTTGCTTTCCTTTTGTATTTAAGAATGGTAAACACCAGGGTTAAAGTAACTTCTCATGGAAAACTTGTTTTTGTAGCAGGTTATGTACAGATTATAAACTAAGGTTTCCTTGATTTTTTTCTTTTCAATATGTATATAATGCATATTATGCACAACTGCTCTCATATACATATATACACGTCTTCTTTATACTGTACATGATTTAGTCATCTTCTACAGAAATGTAAAGTGCCACAGTTCAAATGTGCTTATCTGACTTCCATGGGCTTGTGATGAATCCTCTAATCACTTACAGAAATGAGACTCTTGCTTTATGACATCTGGTTGCTTTTAGGAGGAAGAAATTAATCCTTTCACAGTTGTACTAACTGGAATCCAGTGGTCGAACTAATCCTTCCTTGTAAACACGAAGAATAGCTTCACACACAAACTTGTACTGAGTCTGTGTAACAAAAAAACAAACAAACAAACAAACAAAAAAGAATGAATAAAAATATTAGTGGTTGCTCTTATCAGTTATAAGCTTTTGATTATAGTGTAATACTGAACACTATAAACTATCTTCCACCACTGCCACCTCTGGCACAGAAACATGTGCAAGAGAAGACGACAGACATAAAGATAGAGAAAATAAAAATATGATGACGACACCCCGCAGTGCTATGGGCAGCATTTATACTTCAACAAATGCCAAATGTTGTACGGTGAAAATTTTTACCTCAGATGCAAGCACGAGTTTCCTGGTAACTTTAATGAGTACAATGTACAACATCCAAGAGACAAGATTTAACCAGAATGAACGTCTGCATTTGTGCATCTGTTTCCTTAGCTCAAATAGCCATTTGAATTGAAACTAATTTGTAACAATTATTTGCTTTCATATACTTGATGCTGTAATTTGTACTGATGTTAATTGATCATTTAAATGATAGTAATTTTATCCATCCTTTTAATATACATTACTTGAGTCTTCAAAGCATGCAAACCACAATAAGGGAAATGCATTAGAGTCTCTTAATTTAACAAATGGAAGGTAGCTAATGTACTTCATGTTTTTCAATTAAAATCCTTAAACAAAGGGTTTTATCTTCCAAAATGTGTCAACACTGCTACACAAGTTGAAATGGAAGTAGTTCAGTTTTGTATATATCTTCTCTTTTCAGGACAGAAAACAGGCAGGGGGGCACAGACTTTTGATAGCACGCTGAACTACAACACCTACCTCACTTTCTCTCATATCTCCAACATTTTGATCTCATTTATAATTAGGGCCCTACCAAATTCATGGCCCTTTATGGCAATTTCACAGTCATAGGATTTGAAAAATGGTAAATTTCATGTTTTCAGCTCTTTAAACCTGAAATTTCATTATGTTGTAACTGTAGGGTCCCGAAACAAGGCGATGGGATTGTTACCTTCACTTTTATGCTGGCTTCAGAGCAGTTGCATTTAGGTCTTGATTTTTAATACGTTATCACTGTGCTTTACCTGATAGTGACTTTCCCCCTTGTGCTTTACCAAATTGGCTAAAATAAACTTGAAAGTTTGGCAATGTAAGTTTACTTTTTGCAGCTAATGTTCATGCTTTCCTCCCCTCAACTCTACAGTCAACTACTCCCACCTCAAATATCGGTTTGTTCGTATAACTGTGATGTTTGTTCTTCTGTTTATATTTGTCAATTATTTTGACTTTTCCTTCGTTGCTAGTCATTTGCATTTTTCATCACTGCCATCAAAAGTCAACTATGATATTTAATTCCCTGATTTATTACTTCTGTAACTCTACTGCGTAAGCAACCTACTTAGATACAAGATTGGATGTTTCATCATTGCTTCCTATGATGCAGACAGTGATTACTTGTTTTCTTTGGCTTTCTAATTGTCATTGGTTACATTTTTATTGCTCACTCAACTGAATTCTCATGCCAAGGTTAGCCTTTTTTAAAAGTTATGAATCTATTCATAGCCGTCATCATCAAATCTGATTTTAAGACTTCTATCTCTTCTTTCATGTATTGCTACCCCTTCTATGTATATCACCATTCAATCTCAAGTTTCTAAGATGCTGACTCAGTATATAACTCCTGAAAAAGAAAAAGTTGTTATACAGTAAATTAGGACTAAAGGAAATCCACTGGATTCTCAGCCAGCTAACAACTCCATGTTATGAAGCAGCTTAACAATCCTCCTTGCTAAATCTCTCCCTAAAGTCTTAATGTAATCAATTAAATAATTATCTGAAGAAAGTTATTCATTTCTGAATATTTTCCACTGTACCTTCCCTCTTGTTGTGATCTGTATGCCATAGCCAAACTAATTCTCTTTTGCCTCACTATCTACTAGAACATGTCTGCTTTGAACACAGGAAATGCTATACAAATTCAAAGTGCTTTGAAAATATTCTGATGTGAAGCGCCCTTAGTCTCTCCCGTTGAAACTATTCCACTATGGATACATCGTTAAAAAGGTCATTGGTGCACAGAGACAGGATCTGGAGTCTCCCAAACTCCAAGGTGAGTATTCTAACCACCAGAATGCAGTGTTAGGCTCTCTCCTTACCCAATGACTTTTTAAAAATTTTCACAGCAACACTGCTTCAACCTAAGAGATTGAAGAAGACACAATAAAATATCCTGGAGCCTAATGGAAAGGGTATTTATATGAGGAGGTGTCAGATATCAGTTCAAATCACTTTGGTAGAGGAGGTACATGAACCAGGGTCTTCCACATCTCAGGGGAGTACTCTAACCATTGAGCTAAAAGTTACAAGAAAGATCAATGTCCTGCCCTCCCCTCATGTGTTAACTGCTTTGTATGAGCTTGATTAGGGTGCCAGCTCTAAGTACACTTACCACGTTGGGCCCTAAGTGAAAGAACTGTCTTCCCCTGATTTATACATGTCATTATAACTTTGGTGTCTGGATGTGCTGCAGCGTGCATGCACAGAGGCAGGAACATATGGACATAAGGCACTTTCACTCCAAAAAATTAGGCACCAAGCAATTTTAGGCACCTACGGTTTAGCAGTAACTAAATTGGGACTTTATGAAACTCAATGGGTCCTGATTTGGATTCAAGCACCTGAAGTGGAATTTACATACCTAGTTCCTTTTTTTATATATCTAGCCCTAAATTTCTTGTAAGACTCCAGGCTGAAGACACAGTCAGGGAAACTAGATTTACTGACTTGAAATGTTTTGGGCATGTCCTTCCTACCTCAGGAAAGGAAAAATAAAACTTAATCCTCGGGAGAGAGAAAGCACTTGTGATTTTAATGAACACAACAAATTTGGCTTTTCATCTCTTTGTGCTTTAGTTCTTGTTCTGTCCAAATGTTATTATCACCACCACCTAATCTCACAACTGTGTTGTGAAAATAAGTACATTAATGCTTCTGAAACACTCAGATGAGTGCCACAAAAATACACCAAGGGGAATTAGTAATTTTGTATTCAGAGCAAAGATTAGATGGTATGCCATTAGTTAGGCTTGAGACTATGTACAAAATAAGAAGGATAAAAACAAGTGTTCACTGAACGAGGCAGGCACCCCATGGAAAAAATAGCATGTAATTATGTAATTGAAGACTATCATAATGAATATGCCCAAAGGAGCAGAATTAAGGTTGCACAGAAACTTAATCCTGAGGGCTTGCCTTTGTAATTTTAACATTCTTATAACACAGTTTTTTGGATGCAATAGAATAATTACACTGGTCAATAACACAGCCTGCCCTCAACGTCATTAATTCATTACTAAACAGAGTTAACAACTCTCTCAGTTAGCTTTCCCTTTCCTTTGCTTGAATGAGAACTGTCATGAATTTCTTATGTCGTGCCTTCTGAAGTTCCAAGAGATAAAAGATGCCAAATTCATCTGTTACATTTGTGGGTTTAAACCCCTTTACTCTAGTTGAAGACAGTTGGTGCCTTGGAAACAAGCACATTATTCTCATTCCAACTGGCATCCAGATCTTGTCATCATTAATCAATCTATTCCCTTTGTTCAAGAAAGTGGGACCCACGCTCCTCCACTTCCACAATTTTCAACGGCAACCTATTCATTTCTAAAGCCCATTCAAAACTGTGTCTTGATTTTTGAAACTCTCCATAGACTAGTTCCTATCACCTATGTTATCTACAGCTTTCTCTCCCTGCTCCCTTCCCCCAACCTCAGTCTCCTTCTGATTCCTGGCCTTGACTCTTCAAAACTGAAATGGTGGCCAGGTTTTGTTTTTTTTAATTTTTAAATTGGTACTGCCCCATTCAAATTTTCCTGAACGCTATGCCTATTCTACATCTTTTGTTGGCATAACTTATGTCACTTAGCATTGTGAATAAAACTACCCCCATGTGATTTAAGTTAAACCACCATAAGCACCAGTGTGAACAGTGCTATATTGATGAGAGAACTTTTCCACCGACAGAGCTACTGCCTCTGGTGGAGATGGCTTTATTATGCTGATAGGAGAGCTCTCTCCCATTGGCATAGAATGTCTTTACCACACATGCAGTTAACACTCTCCCATATAGTCATTTTTATTTTTAAATCACATCTGTAGATCTTCCTTTTCTTTTCTAGTCACAGAAGGCTCTTTGTAATGTTCTCTGTTAAGGAAGAAATCTACAAATTAAATTCTATTTTAAATGAGCGTACATAATATCTTATATAAAATGTACACAAATATGACTCAAAGTTCATTCTAGTTTATTACTTGCATCTATTTTTGTAACTCGAATCTTTAAAGGGCAAGGTACAAAAAAAATTTAAACAAGCAGAAATGTCCTTCTTGAGAAGATAAATTTAAGTGTTCAGTTAATGTAATAAAAAAACCTCTGAAAATCATGCAAACAAATAAATCAGCTTTATATGAAAAACCTATGTTTCTCTAGGTGACACATGAAACACAGAGCATGCACAATGCATAACAGACTCCCTCTCATTAACTTACTGATGTTTGCACCATCATAGCTCGCTGGTCTCGCATTTTTCGTACAATATCCAGTGGATAAACAGGTTGGTTTTTCTCAATTAAGCACATAGCTGTTTCCATAGTGACCAGTACACCAGTGCGGCCTATTCCAGCACTACAAAATATAAGAGAACCCCCCCCACACACACAATAAAATTAATAAGGCTTTTCCTGTGCACTGAATACATATCTTAACATTATAACACTCTAAATACCTTTAGGAATAAAATTAAGATTTCTTAAGATTTCTTAAAATTAAGAATAGAAAACAATGTATATTTTTAGGACATCAGCAGCAAAATTTTCTTTATACAACTGCAAGAAAACAGCAATTTTACATGAATAAAATTAAAAGTATAGAAAATTAAAACCAAAAGTTTTAGTATATGACTTTAAAATTATAATGAGTTTAAAATGATATATTAATCTGTGGATTTTTCTTAAAATGAACCTTAAGACTGAGAAGTGAAAATTAGAACAGATGGGTTATATTTTAGGGATACACAAAAAAGAATTTTGAGGTGATTATATGATTATTAAAAAGCATTACGTTGATTACTACATTGAATGACAGACATCAGTGTCAGATAGCCATATAATTGAACAATTTAACCAAGGAGTTTAACCATGAAGAGAATAGTGAAGAAATCCAACCTCTTAGATATAATACTGTAACTTTTATCTCTACTGGATGAATGTTTACTAATAGGCTTATAGCCTTAGGATTTCACCTTTATTTTGAGACAGGACAGATGGAATATTATATCTCTAGGACTGCATCCAATATAACAGAACTTTTATTTAAAATACCTGCAATGAACAAGGACTGGCTCATTCTCCACTCTCTTTGGCCTCATATAGGTCACAAACTCCAAAAAGTCTCTGGAGTCATCAGGAACTCCATGATCAGGCCAAGAAACATACTGGAGATGGGTGATGGTGTGCTCTTCCTTTGTCTGAAATTCAATGGGCATGTCACCTTATCTCATACAGTAGAGCAGCAGCTTTACCAATGTTCAATGGAGAAATGCAATTTGCTTAGTTAAAAAACTTACCTAAGCTGCACAAAGCTTCACAGCTGTAAAGATTGCAAGATTTTTCTAACATAATATTTTCTTATTAAAAACAAAATAAGTGATTTTTGAAGAACAACATTTAAAAAATATATAGGTGCATATTTAACTATATATAGCTCCTTTCAGCTTAAAAGATTTTGAAGTATTTTACCCAATTATACTTAAGGAACACTAATTCCAACAAAGAAATGCAGATCTCTTTTGGCAACAGCTATGCACAACAGTATTACACAATAGTTTAGACCACAAAGGAGAAAATACCTGCTGTACAGTAATTGCAAAAGAAATTTACAGGCAGAATGCGATTACCAGATTTGAAATATGGTCAGGACTCGGGCGCTGAACCTCACTCCTTCAAACAAAAAGTGACACAGACTCTTTAATGACCAAGTAGTATAGACCTTTGCTTACACTTCATCCAAAAGAAGGTATCTGCAGAAGCATTTGCCAACACAATATGCTGGGATGTTGGTTCAGCACTGAAACTGATGGAACAGTGCCAACCTGCAAACTTATCACCATCACTACCTGCAGCACTCCAGGTCTTCCCTCCAAATACTGATTCCATGCAAGCCTTCTGACTCTGAGATTTGATGGGATTACAGTGTAAGGCAATATGGCTGTATGACCAATAGACATATATATTATATACTTATAAAAAGGAGAAATATTAAATGATGTACAGTCTATTTGTGGATTTGGTAAGAACAGAAACTTACTTGTGCATATTTGCTAATTATGATTCCTATTAAGAGGACAGGTTATGTACAGTTTATACTGATATGTTAGAGAAATTAAGAATGTATTATATTTATACTGCCTGTTGGAAGCACTTCATTCATGAGAAGAATGTATTTAGTTAAGGAGTTTTATTGTATAAAGGGCTCTTTTTCATTTAATTATAGTTAAAAGAAGCTATGTACTAGAAACTACTTCAATTTTTTAACTTCCTATTTATTCTCATCATGCAAAAGCAACTCCTCTGAATACAACCATCTTCACATGCAAATGTGGTCCAGTGACTGACTCAGTCTGCTTTATCTGCATACAAACACCTGCATAGGCCATCATTTGAAAAGCACTAGTTTTATAATATGGACTTGATCCACGTCACATTCAGCTTTTTAAACTAGACTTTTCCAGTAGTTAGACTGGAAAAAACAAGTAGTGATATTCCCTCAAGTTCTAGTATATCACCATGCCAAAATGAAATACCACTCACAAGGACTGTGAAAAATTTTCATAATATGTTTAACCTTCTTTCTCCCATATTTTAGTAACATTGAAATAGTTAGCTATGTTGACATTTAAATATTTTCATTAAGCTCAATATTAACACTCAAATGAGATGACAGATACTCTCATTCATTCACACAGCTTTCACAATCAGGATATCACTCTGAGTTCACACTCAGGTCACTTTTTGAGTTTGCCATGTTTTTTCTGATGGGGGGAGGGGGAGAAGCAGGCCACAAAAAACTTTTCATAGTGTCAAACATTATAAGCTGAAATTATAATAGGACAGTGTGGCCACAACCATCTCAATTAATTAGCTTGCTCCGTCCGTTGATAGGTGAAGATATTAGATCCAGTATCATTTCTAGTAATCAGGCATGTATATATGATATGATACAACGCAGAATCTCTATTACCTAGCAAAGGCATGAAAGCCTTATATGCTGCACAGCAGCCCTGAGTTTCTTCCAGGCAGTAGAAATGGTATGTAGATACATCCCCCTCTAAGAACATAGAAGGGTATGAAATATCTTGGCATAAATTCACTATTCTTGAAAGCAAGGTCTCAACAATGGTTATCAGAAGATCCATGGACCCAACTTCCAGAGTAAATCCTAAATATGCACCCAATGTAAACTAACACTAACCAGCTAGTTAATTGTATTACACTGGAAACCTATGGAGTTTGGGATCAACTGCTCTGAAATTACTCTAGGAGCTGAGGGAAGAGGTACTTGTATCGACAACTTATCTTGGGGTCTCAGTAAGGAAGGAACTGGGGCAGGTGGATAAGTGTGGTCCCTTTATATCCTCAGGTCTAAACTGCTTGTTGCTCAAGGAGCAGCTTAGTTGACTCCTTGATCACTGCTTTCTAGAATGTTATCAAACTCTGCAAAGCCAGAGTCAAATCCCATAAGGGGGAATATGAAGAAGCCATCTCAAAGAAAAAAAGAAACACGTTATAATAGTCCTTTTCTGCTAGATTTGGGGAGCTCAGCTTTGGTACCTCAAAGAGTTGTGGTGGAACAGATATTACACATATTTCAGATAAAACATTTTTGTTCTCATTAATTGGAGAAGCTCGAGTGCATATGAATCCCAGCACTCATGCTAAATGAAATTTTGACTCATTCTAAAATAAGCCAGGGAGTCTGAGGTGTGATCTTAGGTGTTCATTAAAGAGTCCAGGCTGAGTCATATGTGAGTGCGCTGAAAAGACACATCACCAAGGCACCTGGGGCACCTACAATTCAATAGCACTTTGAGCAGTTTTTTGGATTTATCACTCATCACAAATAAAGGCTTGAGTGTGCTAGGAGCTGCATTTTCTAAATAGATCATAAACATCAAATACAATGAACAAGCACATTACATAAGATCTCTCTGGAATAAGAACACACTAGTCCATCAAGACTACTGTTGTTACAAGCATCTTAAGTGCTTTGTTCTTTGTTCTATTCTCTCCTACAGGCTAATGTGCTCCTTTGCTAAATATTCCAGTGTTCCTCAAATTCAATATCTTAGTTACCTTTCTAATTATCCTTTTCATACAGTTCTGACTTTTGTTCTGACATGCTCTCCTAAGATTTTGATTAAAATTTTAAATGTTTTATCACAATAAATGTTTACTTTTCAGAATGCCCACATTTTGAATGTCTCCCTTCTTGTCAATAAATCCTAACTCTACCATGCTTAATCTAATCTTAAATCTCAGAATAAGTTTCAGCTCTCTATGCCCAATGACACCTTCTTTGGCTGCAGTAGCCGGTCACCCCATTTAATTCTCAAAAAGGGCTTGTATTACTGATATGAATTTGGGTTTTTCCAAATGTGTACAGTACATAGGTACAACATATATCAGTAATTGTCAGAGGCAACTGAGCTGTGTGCATGTGCGTGTAGGAAGGCAGGAAAAAGGCAAACCATTGTCACAGAGAAGCAAAAGTAGTAGTCTGCCCATGCCCACCGACAGCACGGGAGCCCAGTGATTCAAAAGGGTCTGGGCTCTCACCCACCACTACTGCTGCAGTGGCAGGAGCCCCTGGCCCTTTAAATTACCACTGGACTGCTATGTGGTGCACTTTGGACAGCTCTCAGGGCTGCCTGGGGGGCAGCATGGTGTACTCTGGGCAGCAGGAGAAGGGTCACATAGGGGAGGCAGGCGGGAGTCAGTGCTGGCTTAATTCGCCATGAGCACTGGCTCCTGACTAATGGCCCCCCCACATCCCACACTGTGGCCTCTGATATATAGGCAGCAGTGCAGGGAGGTGAGGGAGGAGGGAGGCAGCTCCCACATGTAAACATGTAACCACTGAAAATTTAGCGCTAGTCAATAATTCTTTTCACCCTAAACATTCAAAACGTGGTCCCAGGACTTATTTACATACCACTGAAATCTGATACTGATCACAGACTTAATTTCTTCATTTTGTATGACACTCATCGCTATAGCATCCGAGTAGTTCACAAACATTAATTAATCTATCTTTACAACACTCCTCTAATGTGATGTTGCATTATCCGCTATTTACAGATGGGGAATAAAGACACAATTTAAGACCAAAACTGTCAAGTGCCCACTTATTTTGAGTGCCTAATTTGACATATTATGGCCTGATTTTTTAGAATACTTGTTTTTAAACACATTGCACAGCTCCCATTGACAATATCTGTGGCAGTTGAGTGCTTAGCGCTTTTGCAAATCAAGTTGCTAGTGTCTCAAGTTAGGCAGACAGAAAACAAGGAATATTCAGTTTGTGGTCTCTTGTGAAAAGTCTGGCTAAATGACTTGTTATATGGGAACTCTGGCATATACAGGGATTCTCAGGGACTAGATCTTTTCCTCTTCCCCTCCCTGCCATTCCCTGCCTCATTCACTGCACATTTCCCAGCTTCTGCAACAAACAAAGCAGTGCTCCTACCAACTCAGCCTTGTCAGTCTCTGAGCATGGCCCACCCTGTAACAGGGGTACTATGGAAAAAACAGTAGGTCATTTATGTAATTAAATCTTCTCTAATACATGCACACAAGAGGGCCAAATTAAGGTTGTGTAAGTAACCTGTAGCTTGCATGCTTTCTACCAGCTGAAGTAACTGAGTAACTGCTAACATTTCTAAGCAATTTATCTTCCATGAGATGGAGACAACCATATATTCAGGGCTATTTGCTAGATAGGAGAAGAATGCTGAAATCCAAGGCTCAATTACAGGATTTAGGGAGGAGTGTGCTCTACTGGTTATAAAGCCTTCTGCTCCATCCTCTCCTCTTCTTTTAGTTCCTTTACTCTTCAGCTCCTGTGCACCCTTCTTTACCCTCACTCTGCTCCTTGCCCTTTTGCATTTGAGGCAGTTTTTTTCCCCTCCTTCATGCAGCACAGACACTAACAGGATGCAATTGAGAATATAGACAAGACAGCTTCCTGGAACTCTAATCATCCCAAACAAGTGGCAGGGGAAACTGAAGAGATACCGTATATACTCGAGTATAAGCCGAGTTTTTCAGCACAGTTTGTGCGCTGAAAAATGCCCCCCTCGGCTTATACTCGAGTC